CGTTTTTATATCACGACTTATATCATTTTTATATTTCCCACAACAAAATTTTTACCACTCATTTGGCTTAAAGTTATCTGGTTTTATTACAGTATTTAGTTAGTCTTATTGCAATATTAATTAATATATTATTTATCTGCTGATTTTCATATTATTACTATTAACAAGGAACTTTTATGTTAAATTATCTTGCATTCATTACTCAGCTTTGTTTTAATTTTCACATGCACAATTTCCATCTTTTATTATTATTTAGAGAATATTTTTATATCCTTCATTAAATGTTTACATATATGCCGCTTACATTTTTAAGGTTTTTGTGCTACGTTCTTTTTCGCTGTCATATATTATTCAATTATTGTTACAATAACAATATATATTCTGAAATAAAAGTTTACATTTCATGGTTATTTACTAATAGTACAAATCTAAGGTAAGCACCAATTAAATAATAATAGCAACCATATGATAATATTAATGTAAATTAAGTGAAGACGATTATAATAATATCAATAATACTATTAAATATAATAATGACAATAATAATGATTATATTAGTAATTATAATAACAACAACAACAACAATAACAATAATAACAATAGCAATAATAACAACAATAATAATAACAATAATAATAATATTAACAAATATCACATTTATATTAAACAATTTTAATAAGTAATTATGACGGTAATAAAAATAATATTAACATCACATATAATAATAATACTAAAAACAATAGTTATAATAATCTATTATAAGCCTAAGATTTTAATTAGAGTATTTTTCTATCAAAAAATCAAAAAGATGGATTTTAAATTGTGAAAAAGAGTTAAGGGATTGAAAATGAAAAGATAAACTATTCCACGATTTTACGCATTGGTTTGTCATAGAGTTATCACCGTATTTTACCGAACAGCGATTTGGGGTAGATAATTTAAAGTTACTCTAAGATCGAAGGTAATAACGAGGACTTTTTTTAGTGGTAAAAAAATTGGAGAATGACGGAGGGAGCTTTACTAGTTTATGATTCCAGACAAATAGACAATTTAATAAATAAAAAAGATCACATAATTTGATTAATTTTGATAGAAAGTAAAAGATGTCAGAGTTAGAATGATACTGTTGAAAGAATATTATTTTTAAAGCCTTGGGGTACACCCGTGGAGCATTTTATTGGAAAAGACTTGGCATCATTGATGGAGACAAATTGCAATCTATTAAAAAGATATGATGAAAACCATTGCAGAGTATTACCTTGAACACCGTTGTGTTCTAATTTATTTAAGAGGAGGAGTGGTCTACAGAATCAAAGGCTTTCTCTAAGTGAAGAAACACTCCACATGAAAAAAGTTTATTATCTGTGGTCCATTAGAGAACCCTTTTTATGGATAGGAATAACTTTGGTTATTTTAAAAACATCTGGAAAAAGACCTTTATTAAAAGAATTATTCAATATGGTACAGAGAGGCTTGCAAATAACATGAGAAGTAAGTTTAAGAGGGTGTGTTAGGATACTGTTTGGTCCTAAACTTTTACCATTTTGTAAACTATTTTTTATTAAATCAGACATCTCATTTTCAGTCACTGGATTAACAAGAAAGAATTAGAATTAGCATTTTTTAAATAGTCAGAAAAGATAGAAGAAATAATTTTACTTTTGGGTGGGTGTTGTATTGTTTCATAGTATTTGTTAAAAATGTTAGCAACAGCCATACTGTCTGAGATAGTGTTACCATTAGACTTGAGAGTGTAAGATTTAATTGGTGTAGAGGGTTTGATGTTAATAATTTCTTTTATTCCTTTCCATGTATTTTTTGTATTGTTGAGGTTTTTGTTAAAGAAGGAGATGTAGTATGACTTTTTGGAAATTCTTTATAAATTGCAAATTTTATTCCTGTACAATTTAAATTTATCGAATAATTGACTTTTTGTGTTGGAATTTTTAGATTTTATCTACTTTTTGTAGAGTTTATTTTTAATTGCAATTGACTTCAGAACTCCATTAGTGATCCAAGGTTTAGATATGAGTTTAACATGGTTTTTGGTCAGTTTTTTGTACGGGGCATGACAATCAAGAATTGTGTTGAATGTTTTTAAAAAGAAGTTCATTAATTTATTGACATCATTACCATTTTTGATATAAAACCTTTTGTCAATATTATAAATATCCTGAATAAATTCATTATCATTGAAATTCTTAAATGATCGTTTAGTTGTTATGGGTTTTTTTCTTTTGAAAGGAGTACTAGTAATGTAAACAAACTGTGCCATGAGATCCTAAATTGATATTGTTACGTTACCAGAAATAAGATTAGAAATTTGAAAATTTAAAAAGATGTTATCAATAATTGTTTTAAATTTACAGGTTGCTCGCGTTGGTTGAATTATTGTTGTGTAAAAAGAATAAGAACAAAGTGAGTCAAGGTAATCAGAGATAATAAGGGATTCATTATAGTTTAGTAAGTCCATGTTAAAGTCACCCATAACCTGTTTATTTTTAGAACTTTGTATCAATTTCTGATTATTTTAATCCTTTACTTGAAAAAGTTATTCAAGTAAATGATTAAAATAATCAGAAATAAATTCCTTTGGGTTCATTGAAGGATGCCGGTATATGCAGCCAACAATGATACTTTTCTTAAAAGGATTGATGATTTCGATAAAGATAGATTCTAGGTATTTTGGGGCATATACTATAAGATCTCTTCTAACATTTTAGTTTAGATTGGATTGTAAGTATAGAAGAGCACCTTCTTTTGTAGCTTCAGTAGAGCATTGTTCAATGTTATAATCATTTATGGTAATGTCAGTTATATTGGGATCGTTAATGTACAATTTAGTTTCCGAAATTCCAAATACTGTTGGAAGAATGGTAAGTAAACTTATAAGACTGCAAAGTTCATCAATATAAAAATGCAAACAACCAATGTTTAGATGAAGGTACAATTCAGAATTTGATTTTAAAGTTTTATTGAGATCAAGAATATTGTAGTATTTGCAGTTGGAATAAGTATTAGAGATTTTATTTATACCCTTAAAAAAGTTTTTGAATTGTAATGGATTTCTCAAGAATTTAAGGTACTAGTTGATAGAGTCTGACATGATATAGTTAAAGAAAATTTTAAGTCCGAAAGTGTGCTAAATGGCATATTCTTAATTATACAGTCACTACTATACCAGCCAGAAGGTTCTTTGACAAGAAGGTTATTCAAAAATTTGTTAATTGAATTGCACTTAGCATGAACCCAAGAAGAACAACAATCATATAAAATGCCTCTTTGATGATTGGCCACTGCTTTATTGCAGAACTTACAATGGTACTTAATTGCCATGTAAAAATATAAGTTAACAACAAAGCAATAATATATAAAGTATGGTATAAACCAATAATAAATAAATATAGTATAATTTAAAAATAAAGGTTATAATAAGTAACTAGCAATCATAAAAAATATATAGTATTAAGAATTTTAAATAGTTAATTAAATAATAAATAATATAATAGCAGATAATATATGTATAATAAACAAATAACATTCAAAGATACAACAACTAAAAAAAAACATTTCGATGTTTTTTTTTAGTTGTTGTGTTTCTATTAGGATTCAATTTATTTTGTTTTAATGTTTTCTTTTGGTGGTATGGTAAGTGTTTTATTTAGTTATTTTTATTTTTGTTTGTTCAGTAGATCGACACTTTTAATATCATATCATCAAAAAAGTATTGGTGCTTTACAAATTTGGGGTTGGTTGGGTTTTGGCTATTTGTAGTGAGCCCTTTTTTACTAGTAAAGTGGCGATGAAGTTTGTCTGACGGAATAAACTAGTTATAGATGCTGATCCTCATCGAAATGTAAGTAATAATAAACGCGACTCGGAGGAGATGTTTATTACTTAATCACTACACAATTTATCCTCTATTAATCTTTATTTTTGTCTTGACAACTGTCAAGACAAAAATAAAGATTAATTAGAGGATAAATTGTGTAGTGATTAAGTAATAAACTTAATCACTACACAATTTATCCTCTATAAAGATTAATTTTAAATAATTCTACTTTATTCAAATGTACTTCATTTCTTCCCTCAGGCGTTCACTACTCGTGTGTGACCATTCGGCCAATTTTATATGCCAAAGTTTTTAAATAAAACTGTACAACTTTTCAGAATTAAAATTGTAAATAAGATTAAAAACAGATAAAAAAATAAAAGCAATCTTGAGTAAAAACGTTATTGACTTTTTCGACTTTCTCGAGCTTATTTTAGTCCATCTCTCTCAATAGACCCTGACAGCCATTTTGAAAGTAATTTGTCCAGTTGACAAGCTGTTGATTTTGGATATATATATATATATATATATATATCTGTATATAATATATATATATATATATATATATATATATATATATATATATATATATATATATATATATATATATATGTATATATATATATATATATATATATATATATATATATATATATATATATATATATATATATATCTGTATATATAATATATATATATATATATATATATATATATATATATATATATATATATATATATATATATATATATATATATATATATACATATATAACTTAACTTTCTCAACCCTCGGAATTAGGGTCGGCATTCGGCCGACCTAACCGCCGACCTGAAAGTGCTTGGGGTCGGCTTAAAATGCCGATCTCGTTTCTATGTTTTATGGTCAGACCTTTGTATCAAATAACTTATGCCGACCTTAGCCGACCTTAAAAAGATTGATGTTGGCAAATTATTGCTGACCTCATTTTTCCTGATTCCTAGGGTTGCTCTTTATATATAACTTATCTATATATATATAACTGTTTTTCATAATAATTTTATTTATAAGTTTGCCTGCTATATATTATATTTTTCACCCCTACTAGAAAACCAAGCTCTAATTTTCTTTTCTTCCTGTAAAGTTATAAAGCATCGATAGTTTTGCTATCAAGATTTTTTTACCAACTTTTCTCAAACAGTCATCAAGACTTCCTCCAATTAGAGACAAAAAAATAACCTATAAAGAAATAAACATTTATAATTAGCAATTGCATATGAAAATGAGTTTACTAAAGTATAAACGTTATTATATATGAAGTCAATTCTAAATAGAAAAAATATACTAATTTGAGTTCTTAATTTTAAAAAAGAAATGTAAAATTTTATATTCTTTATACTATATAATGATAATATAAGACTTACTGCATTTGATTGACATTCAGTATCTTCCAGAAAAATTCTATTTAATCTAAGAGTTCATCTATTTCTTTTAATGGAAATATAAAGTTTGCTGGAAGATTTCCACTCGAATTATAACCAAAAGATACTTGCTTTTGGTGTTGTACACGTAACTCTGATTTAATTTCCTCCAACCGTTTAATCACACAGTGATAATACGGACGAACAGTATCAGCCACAGCTTGTTTTACTAAATCAGGAACTATCCAAAAACAATAAGTTATATTTGTAGGAAATATTCAGGTATATAGAGTCCCAAAAATGACTCTCGGAATTTTGGAAGTCACAAAATCTTTATTTTTGCATAATTTCTAGTGTTAAGGCTTTAAAAGTTGAGACTTTGGAACTATATAAGAATAAATTTACAGGAAATTTGTAGTTGTAAAACCTATTATATTTCATCTTACAGTCTGTGAAGCAAGAAGTAATACAGTGGGAATTTATGCTCAAAATTTTCATCTTACAATTTCTGGTTAACAACTTTTATGTTCTCAATTACATCTTATGTTATTTTAATTACATCTTATGTTTTCTTAATTACATATTTACTGTTCTCAATTTCATCTTACTCTTCTTATTTACAAGCCACACAAGTGTGGAACCATAGACGTTAAGCTGCAAAATAAAAATAAAAAAAGCTTATTAGAGCACTAGGAACCATAAAAAAATTAGTATTTTGTAACTTTCAAAAACGGTCTATTATAAAAAGAACACCTTTTTGAAAATATAATTGAACAACATATATCCCAAAATATTATTCTAAATGTAAAACTTATGAATTGCAGATGTAATGTTTGTGCCAGAACTAGCTAGTGTAGGTTTATCAATTCAATCTGTGGTGGAAGTTGACTGTCTACATGGGGGTAGGGGAAGAAGTGGTACCAAATGTTCACTATCCAAAGAGTCAGAACTAGAATTTTCTGATCGATTGGTGAGTTTTTCTTATTCTTAATTTTCGAATTTTCTTTTTTTTTTCTTTTTCTCAATTGCAATTTCAGGACTCCTAAAATTGCAAACAAAATGATAATAAAATTGTAATGTATATACAATAATGAATACAAAATTTCAACTTAAAAAATGTAATTTGCATTTATAATCTTAACATTTTAAAAATATACAATAATTATGATTATGAAATATGATATGAAATACTTTACCATTGCGATATGAAATACTTTACCATTGAGACATGAAATACTTTACCGTTGCGTTTGCAGTTTTTTCCTCTTTAAATCATGTTTTATTTCTGAACAACTTGAAGTAAAATCAACAACAACAACAACAACAAGCTATTTATTTTGCGTAAATGATTTTTACAATAGTTTTGATAATAATGATAATAACATTAATAATAATAATAATAATATTAGTAATAATAAGCAAAGACACACACTGAAACACATGATCCGTAAACACAGAGACCAATGCACATAAAATATACATCAAAACAAACATGTAGAAATCAGTTTGCAGATTTTAATAACAAAAAAAAAATAAAAAAATAAACAAAAAGGGCTGATGATAACTGTAGTAATTGCAAAAAGAAAATTAAAATAATTTTGTATTCGTAAGGATAATAATGGCTAAAAGTTAGAATAAAAAGTTTTTCAGTATTTTTTTAAATTGATATTGTTTAAGATGAAGTAAAGGTATTTCAGGATATATTTTTTTGGACTCATTCAAAATGCATGCAAGGCCCCTGTTCCATTCACTGGCGCACTGATAAACAATAAAATGTTTACCATACTTCTGGGTTTTAAAAGATGGTACATTTAGTTTTCCATTGTGTATATTTCTAGTCGAGTAGGGATGTAATAGTCTACTTTCTGTGAACAAGTTTGTGATAGGAGATATGTTTTTATTTAAGCTGTCAAAAACAAAAAAAAAGAATATTAGCATACTTTAATAGCGCTGGAAATGTTGGAATGAAAATTTTTTTGAAGGACTTTGATGTATCTGATTTAATTGGCTGGAAGTTTATTATTCTGATGGATTGAGACGAAAGCAATTTGTTAATGCGATAGTTTCCAACTTGACCCCAAACTCGACAACAATAGCTAAGATGAGATGAGAATAATGCATAGTAAATATTCCTAAGTGTAACTTTATCGACATAATGTCGAATTATTGAAAGCATACCGTTAGCTCGAGAAGTTTCTTACTTAGTTCATCCATATGAAAGTTCCATGAAAGATTGCAATTAGTTAATACACCAAGGTATTTAATAACTCTTGAAGAATATAGCCGTTTATTATTAATTTTGATTTTGATTTCAACATTTTTAAAGAAATAATTTTTTCTTGGAGATGAGAAAAAAAATTAGTTCAGTTTTTTCGGTGTTGAGACATATTAGGTTAGCATTTAACTAGTGAACTATACATTTTAGATCCGAATACTTACAGATTGTTTTTGATCTGAAAGATAAGATCGAAACCATTAGTAACCATCGAAACCATTAGTAACCATCGAAACCAGTCATTAACAATACCGCGGAATCCATAATGTTTTAATTTAGAAATCAAAATACCATGGTCAAGGGCATCGAAAGCTTTTTGTAAATCGATAAAAACACCACAAACAAAATGACCAGTATCAAAAACTTTCCTGATTTTTTCCGTTATACTTATTAATGCATGGCAAGTAGAATGTTTTGATCGAATCAGTGTAGTGCAAAATTTAGCCTCTGCCTTTTTCATCTTTTCATAGTCTGGAAAATTATTATTTTCAGAAAAACAATTTTATAATCAAAACTTTACAAAAACATATAGAAATTAAATACTTCCAGTTTTCAATAATCTTATATAAGGATAAAGAGGCCAGTCTTTGTGATTAGAAATTGGTAACTTTTTGATTTTTGACCATTGTGTAGCACCAATTCCCTGAGGCCAATAACATGTAGCTGATTCCTGTAATAACCATCTATCAAGAACCACTGCCACTCCATCCTCAAATTCAACTAAATAATATATTACTATCTAAAATAAACAGATTGGCATGAAAATCAGTTTAAATAAAGACACCCTGATTAATGATTTAATCATCATTAATCAGGGTGTCTTCCAATAATGTATGATGGATTTCCTTGATTTTTCAAACTAATTATAGGTTTTAACCAGATAAAGTACTTAAATCAAAAAGTCAAAATAAAAGTATAAAAATATACATTTAACTGTATTGAGTATGTTATTAGATGTGCAGTTTTTTTTAAATAATTTTTTTATATTTATTTACTAAATTTATTTTCAAATAAATTTATTTATAATATTTATTCAAGTAATAATGAAATTATTTTTTCATGTTCTATCTTGTATAAAAACCACATTTTATCAAATACTAATACCAATATGCAAATAAGCGCATAATACAAAAAGTTAGCAAAAAAAAAAATACAATTTTTTATTTATGCATTTATTGAGGCTTTATAGATAGAAGAATAAAAACAAATTTGGACTTGTATGGTAGTATCACATAATTTTTCTTTATTTTATCTGTTGTGGCAGATTTATACTGACCTGCTTATTTAAATATGTTACAAATCAAACATATTAAAATGAAATTTTAATATGTTACGAATCAAATAAAAGTCATTATTTATTTTCATCCAATTGTTTCCTTTTGAGGTAGAGTAAAAAATTCCATTTAAAGTAATTCTTTACTGTAGACACTCTGTTTGTACTCTAAAAAAATAGGACCATTTTCATGCAGCTTCCTGGGAATGCCTTTCTTTATACATTTATCCGAGTTTCTTATAATTGATTCATTTCTTTTAGATATACGCCGGATAACCTGTTGAAGTGGTAAATGAGGTTTACGTATTAAACGCTTACAATATGATCATCGTTTTCCCCACAATATCATTAAAAGAATAGCAGGCATGAGATATAACACTATCTTTTTTTTTAAAGCTGTATTATTATTAAAGAAAGAAGATTCTGTATCAATATCGAACATAATTTTTTTGACAGATTTAATAATTTTTCGTCTCTTTGACCAACAAGTTGGCACAGTATCCATGATCTGTTAGAATCCCTTATATAACTTATACATTTTAGCTTTTATAAAGTTTATATAACTTATATTATAAGTTATATAAACTTTATGAAAGCTAAAATGTTAATAAACTAAAACTATGAAGAAAAAATATGTGTATAATACATATATATATGTATATTTTGAAATTGAATATGACTTTAAAACTAAATATAGTTCTATAATAATAATAACTTATTTCCAATAATATTGCGCCATATTAAAAAATCCGACTTTATCGAAGCAATTGGTTTAAATAATATATACATTTATTAGCCCAATACATTCCCAAATAAGTCGGCCAGTATTTAGGCTTCTATATCAGCTGCAAATGCAAGCCGGTGTCGTACAAATTTATTTCCCCCATAAATTTGTCTCCGAGTTGCACGCCGATTTTTTTATAAAATGTTCTTATATCCGAAGATATTGTTGGCTTAGCATAGGAACAGCCAAAAATAGTCATTAAGACTAATCCAAAGTAGCGTCCGTTATTGACCAACATTTTTGCGTACTGAAGTACTACTCAAGCGCTGAGTTGGCGGTGGCAGGATTTGATCTCGTATCGTTTAACAGTCCGGGTTTTAACTTTTCCTTTAACGCTCTAACCATCTGAGCTATTCCTCATACAAACCTAACAAATACACCTGTAAATTTTCTTCCTATCCTGATAAGAAGTGAGTTTAAATTTACATTACTAATGTAAATTTAAACTCACTTCTAATCAAATTTAAATTTAAAAAAATTCACTTCTAAATCTAATAACAAATAATTAAAATTCACTTGCCTATTCCTTTAAAATTTCTTGCAGCTATTCTGAGCCCACGTTTTTCACTGTTCAAAACAGTATTTACATACTTTCCTTCTAATACGTATTGTCTTATCTCTTCGCAAAATCTCTTCGAGACGTAGTTCTTGAGATTTTGCATTGGTCTTAGGCATTGTTTAACACGTTGACCGCCTTGCCTTTTTTTGAAAAAATCACATTGCCAAATAATCTTTTTTTTTTTGAATATTTCGTGTATACATATGTATACACAAATAAGTCAAAGAGGAGTTTTTTTTTTTTAATAATTTTTAGTTTTTGTTTGAACATTTGAACAATAATTTTCTCAAAACCTAAACTATTTAACTTTTAAATATTTAAAAATATATTTTTCCAAAATGTTCCAGAACCTTCCAGCACGCCGATAAACGGGTATATAAACCTAGCGTTTTCTGCTAAACACCAGTTCAGCAATTGTATGGACTTTAAATATTGTTGAATAAATAATTGTGATCGACTGAAAGAAAACTTGACTGTCGAAACTTAACAGTTTTCAACTTTTTTCCTCAAATACTTGATTGATATTACTAATTTTTTGATACAATCGTAAATTTTTATTATTTTCTAGCTATTAATTTTTCTTATTTATTAGAATGGCTGATGATAATATTGAATTAAACGATAGCTTTGAAAGGTTGCTGTTACAAAGTGATGACGAACATGATTCTGATTTAATGGAAACAATTCAACAGGACGAATCTGATGAATCCGATAGTGCTGATAGTGAATCAACTGATGGTGGTAGTGATGATGGTTCAGAAGAATGGTCGAAAAATGTGCAGAAACCTTTAAGATGGGATTTTGATGACGGAACTGCGGGCATAAATATGGATATGGTAATGGATTGCAAAGAACCTGTCGATTACTATAACTTATTTATGAACAACGAACTTATCGATTTTATTGTGGAAGAAACTAATCGTTATGGACCAACAAAGGATTCAAACTATTTGCCGACAAATAATATGGAAATGCGAAAATTTATGGCTATCATTTTGCAAATGGGATATGTTGTTCTGCCTAAACTCGATGATTATTGGTCCTCTGACCCTGCTATTGGCGGTAAAGCAATATGTGGAGGTGTAATGACAAGGAAAAGATTTTATTCTTTGATGAGATCCCTCCACTTCGCTGACAATGACAACAATAATGGATCAAAATTATATAAAATAGAAAAATTTGTCAACTTGTTCATTGCCAGATGTCAACACTTACTGGTTCCAGGCAGAGATATATGCATTGAAGAAAGCATGATACCCTTTCGCGGCAGACTTCGATTTCGTATGTATATTCCTAGTAAAAGGCATAAATATGGCATCAAAATCTTTAAATTGTGTAGCAACAACGGATACACTTATAATTTATCAATTTATGCCGGTAAAGAGGACCAGCCAAGATATGGTTCTGTGGCAGAACGTGTAGTTTTAAAACTAATGGAAAACCTTCTTGGACATGGCAGAATTCTGTATACAGATAACTGGTATACAAGTATGAATTTGGCGAAATCTTTATTGGAAAACAAGACAAACTTAGTTGGGACGGCCAGAAAAAATAGAATTGGATTTCCAAAACACGTAACTTCTCTGAAATTGAAGAAAGGTGATTATGTTGCAGAACAAAATGGTGATGGTATTATGATTTTAAAATGGAAAGATAAAAGAGAAGTTATAATGCTTTCATCTATTCACGATGGTAGCATTACGGAGAGAGGAAAACCTGCTGTTATCGTAGATTACAATAAAGGGAAATCGTTTAACGGTCTATCTGACCAATTGGGCTCTTATTGTCCATACGTACGTAAAACAATGAAATGGTACCTCAGAATCTTTTTTCATATAATTACTCAAGGAGAAGGAACTATTCGAAAACGACGTTGTACTGAATGCTACAACAAATTATCAAAAGAATTTGGTGCCACAATTGCCAGGAATCGTGCTAGTCAAATTAAGACAAGATGTGATAATTGTTTAAAACCTTTTTGTTTAGCTTGTTTTCAAAAATGTCATACTAAATGTTGATTTTATTGATTATGTTGATTTTATTTTTTCTGTATAACGGTTTTTTTTAATTCTAATGTTATTTTCTGTTTTATTTTTTTCAAATAAAGTTATCTTTTACCACAGTGTTTTTTATAATTTGAACGAAGTTTTTTTTCTTAAAACGCTATCTATTTAAACGCCATTAAATTTTAAGAATTGATAAATATAAAGAAACAATTGGAAACAAGTAAAAATTAGAATACTTAAAATTAACAAAAATAAATTTACTATCAAAATCGTGTATCCATATGGATACACGACTTGAAGAAACGAGAGTTTACGCGTGTATACATATGGATACACGATGCGGTCAACGTGTTAAGAAAAAATATAAAAATAATATATCATACTTGGCATGAAAGTTATTAATTCATTTATTAAAACCTAATGCCATTAGGTTTTAACAAATTTATAGGGGAAATAAATTTATACGACACCGTACTAATACAAGTAATTTAGTAGTAAGGTTTTTATTATATTATCTAAAATATAAAGAAACACATTATACTTAATCTAAATATAATAATACAATATTGCACTAACACAATAACACAATATCACAGTCTTCCGCCCTTCCAATAGATATTTATGTACAGTTTTTTGATTTAGTTTCGAAGGCGGTCAATGAATAATCATTCTTTTTTAGTGGGATTTGGTGGTAAGCATTTTTTAGATCTATTTTACTGAATATACTGTTGATAGCTACCTTATTTAGTAGGTCATCTATTCTTGGACAGGGGTAAAAATCTAGAGTATATTTATGATGTTGGAGAAGTCGATTACTAGACAAGGTTTTTTTGATAGGTTTGTGACAAAGCATTGGGCTCTCCAGGGGCTTTGCCTGATTTGAATAATATCATCGTTTAAAAGTCAAGTTATTTCACTATTAATAAAGTCCATATTCAGATTGTCTCGTTAAAATGTTGCAATCGGAGTTGGGATGTGTCAATTCCAGGAATAAGTTCATACAATTTACATTTCATGAAAGATAGGGCAAGGCAGAATTGGACTGGTTTACGTTTTCCTCCAAAGTGAAGTGTTAGAGCTGAGTGTTTATTTAAAATGTTTATACCGATAATAAGAGGTTTTACTACAAAGAGTTTAGCTACTGCTTTGGATAACACTTTTCATACTTATGGTCCACCAAAAAAAGTAATTACTGATCAAGGAAGAGAATTTGTGAATGAGGTAAAGACTAAAAAAGTTTCTAAAATTTTAGTTTTCTTTGTGTTATTGAAAATTTATTTTATTAGTTTTTTTAATTATTTTTTATGTATAGCTTAACGATAAAATTTTTCAATTAATATGTATTGAACATTCTGTGACATCAGCATACCATCCTAAAAGTAATGGTCATGATGAACGTACAAATCAAACTTTTAAACGTGCTTTAAGCAAGTATACTAATAATGAGATGAATGACTGGGATAGGTTTAGTAGTCTATATTCTAATTTCATTTTCCTTATATATACACTATAATTTATTGTCACAATAATTTTTTTTTATGATTTGTATTAATTACACATCTGCAATTGCTTATGGACTGAACATATCATGCCAGAAATCTACAAAGATGACTCCTTTTTATCTAATGTATTTAAGACATACTCCAGGTTGAGATGATAAATGTTCTAAATGAGACTAATGATTCTTTAAATAGTAGTTTTCTTGAAAAAATATCTGACTTTACAGTAGAAAAGTTAGTTAATGATTGTGAGGCTGTTGAGAAAAAAGTTAGAGAAAATATAAAAATTGCTCAAGAAAAGCAGTGTAAGCAACATATGAAAAAAGTTGCAAAAAAGGGTGTAAAGACATTTACATTTAAAAATAAATGATCAAGTGATGAAGTTAAATGCAAGGAAATGAGTTCGCATAGGTGAGCCTTTATCTAAGGAGTGGATGGGACCATATACTCTAACTGATTTAAAAATAAAAGGTCAATGCACTTTGAAAAACCTTAATGGTGAAATTTTAAAAACAAAAGTAAACGTTTCTCAGCTTAAACCTGTGTATTTTAGCTGTTTGAATTAACTATGTGCAATTCACCTCAAAAATTGTATTTTAACTACTCCTCTAATGTTCATAATGGTAGTTTTTCATAATGGTAGTTTTTCATGCTATAAACGAGCTGAAGAGTAAGATTTTTTTTATTTGTTTATATTTGTTTTTTCTGAATTTCTGATTCACATTTATGTCAAATATTTTACTGTCAGTTTCTCCTTCAGCTAGATCATGAGGTAGCTTTCTGATAATCCTTCTGAGAAAAAAAACTGACATTAAAAGTTCCAGTTTTAACTAATTTATGTGTGTGTGTGTGTTTAAATTAGTAAAAACACTAATCTAATTTTTAAATTTCTTTAACATAATGTTTCTCCATCAGTAGGTTCATCAGGAAGCCATGATTCCTGATGAACCTGCTGATAATTAGCTTCTTGAGGATCCTATAAATAGTGAGACTGTTCAAATCATTTTTTATTTTTTATATATAGTAGTATAAAATAAGAAAATATTTTTAAAAATAATACAATATGATAATATCATGTTATTTTTGAATTTATCACTATATTATTATATTGTTATTGCAATAATAATTGCAGTTATGCAATTAGTAACAAAAATATAAAGGAAAGAATCCAGAAATGGAGAGCTTTTTTTTTTTTTTTTTTGTCAATAACAATACTTATACAGTTTAACAATAATTTTACGCCTAATAAACATTGGAAAGAATTTAGAATTGGAGATCTAACCTTAGGCAACATTACAACTTAGATATGAGGTGCAAAGTCCTATGGCTTACCTTCTAGTTGGTGCACTTTGTTAAGTAAGTTAGACATTGTATGTCTAATTTACGAACAGAATAGCCAAGGCAAATTTCATATTTTATTATTAGTTTTTTTACTAGAACCCATTAAATATACATATAGAAATATACATATAGAAATATAAATATAGAAATATACATATAGAAATATACATATAGAAATATACATATAGAAATATACATATAGAAATATACATATAGAAATATACATATAGAAATATACATATAGAAATATACATATAGAAATATACATATAGAAATATACATATAGAAATATACATATAGAAATATACATATAGAAATATACATATAGAAATATACATATAGAAATATACATATAGAAATATACATATAGAAATATACATATAGAAATATAAATATAGAAATATACATATAGAAATATACATATAGAAATATACATATAGAAATATACATATAGAAATATACATATAGAAATATACATATAGAAATATACATATAGAAATATACATATAGAAATATACATATAGAAATATACATATAGAAATATACATATAGAAATATACATATAGAAATATACATATAGAAATATACATATAGAAATATACATATAGAAATATACATATAGAAATATAAATATAGAAATATACATATAGAAATATACATATAGAAATATACATATAGAAATATACATATAGAAATATACATATAGAAATATACATATAGAAATATACATATAGAAATATACATATAGAAATATACATATAGAAATATACATATAGAAATATACATATAGAAATATACATATAGAAATATAAATATAGAAATATACATATAGAAATATACATATAGAAATATACATATAGAAATATACATATAGAAATATACATATAGAAATATACATATAGAAATATACATATAGAAATATACATATAGAAATATACATATAGAAATATACATATAGAAATATAAATATAGAAATATACATATAGAAATATACATATAGAAATATACATATAGAAATATACATATAGAAATATACATATAGAAATATACATATAGAAATATACATATAGAAATATACATATAGAAATATACATATAGAAATATACATATAGAAATATACATATAGAAATATAAATATAGAAATATACATATAGAAATATACATATAGAAATATACATATAGAAATATAAATATAGAAATATACATATAGAAATATACATATAGAAATATACATATAGAAATATACATATAGAAATATACATATAGAAATATAAATATAGAAATATACATATAGAAATATACATATAGAAATATACATATAGAAATATACATATAGAAATATACATATAGAAATATAAATATAGAAATATACATATAGAAATATACATATAGAAATATACATATAGAAATATACATGTAGAAATATACATATAGAAATATACATATAGAAATATACATATAGAAATATACATATAGAAATATACATATAGAAATATACATATAGAAATATAAATATAGAAATATACATATAGAAATATACATATAGAAATATACATATAGAAATATAAATATAGAAATATACATATAGAAATATAAATATAGAAATATACATATAGAAATATACATATAGAAATATACATATAGAAATATACATATAGAAATATACATATAGAAATATACATATAGAAATATACATATAGAAATATACATATAGAAATATACATATAGAAATATACATATAGAAATATACATATAGAAATATACATATAGAAATATAAATATAGAAATATACATATAGAAATATACATATAGAAATATACATATAGAAATATACATATAGAAATATAAATATAGAAATATACATATAGAAATATACATATAGAAATATACATATAGAAATATAAATATAGAAATATACATATAGTAATATACATATAGAAATATACATATAGAAATATACATATAGAAATATACATATAGAAATATAAATATAGAAATATACATATAGAAATATACATATAGAAATATACATATAGAAATATACATATAGAAATATACATATAGAAATATAAATATAGAAATATACATATAGAAATATACATATAGAAATATACATATAGAAATATACATGTAGAAATATACATATAGAAATATACATATAGAAATATACATATAGAAATATACATGTAGAAATATACATATAGAAATATACATATAGAAATATACATATAGAAATATACATATAGAAATATACATATAGAAATATACATATAGAAATATACATATAGAAATATACATATAGAAATATAAATATAGAAATATAAATATAGAAATATAAATATAGAAATATAAATATAGAAATATACATATAGAAATATACATATAGAAATATACATATAGAAATATACATATAGAAATATACATATAGAAATATACATGTAGAAATATACATATAGAAATATACATATAGAAATATACATATAGAAATATACATATAGAAATATACATATAGAAATATACATATAGAAATATACATATAGAAATATACATATAGAAATATAAATATAGAAATATACATATAGAAATATACATATAGAAATATACATATAGAAATATACATATAGAAATATACATATAGAAATATACATATAGAAATATACATATAGAAATATACATATAGAAATATACATATAGAAATATACATATAGAAATATACATATAGAAATATACATATAGAAATATACATATAGAAATATACATATAGAAATATACATATAGAAATATACATATAGAAATATACATATAGAAATATACATATAGAAATATACATATAGAAATATACATATAGAAATATACATATAGAAATATACATATAGAAATATACATATAGAAATATACATATAGAAATATACATATAGAAATATACATATAGAAATATACATATAGAAATATACATATAGAAATATACATATAGAAATATACATATAGAAATATACATATAGAAATATACATATAGAAATATACATATAGAAATATACATATAGAAATATACATATAGAAATATACATATAGAAATATACATATAGAAATATACATATAGAAATATACATATAGAAATATACATATAGAAATATACATATAGAAATATACATATAGAAATATACATATAGAAATATACATATAGAAATATACATATAGAAATATACATATAGAAATATACATATAGAAATATACATATAGAAATATACATATAGAAATATACATATAGAAATATACATATAGAAATATACATATAGAAATATACATATAGAAATATACATATAGAAATATACATATAGAAATATACATATAGAAATATACATATAGAAATATACATATAGAAATATACATATAGAAATATACATATAGAAATATACATATAGAAATATACATATAGAAATATACATATAGAAATATACATATAGAAATATACATATAGAAATATACATATAGAAATATACATATAGAAATATACATATAGAAATATACATATAGAAATATACATATAGAAATATACATATAGAAATATACATATAGAAATATACATATAGAAATATACATATAGAAATATACATATAGAAATATACATATAGAAATATACATATAGAAATATACATATAGAAATATACATATAGAAATATACATATAGAAATATACATATAGAAATATACATATAGAAATATACATATAGAAATATACATATAGAAATATACATATAGAAATATACATATAGAAATATACATATAGAAATATACATATAGAAATATAAATATAGAAATATACATATAGAAATATACATATAGAAATATACATATAGAAATATACATATAGAAATATACATATAGAAATATACATATAGAAATATACATATAGAAATATACATATAGAAATATACATATAGAAATATAAATATAGAAATATACATATAGAAATATACATATAGAAATATACATATAGAAATATACATATAGAAATATACATATAGAAATA